ATTATCTTTTTATGTATTTATTAAAATATTTCTGTTATACTAAAATATCTTTTATATTCCTTTATATTTGCAAGATATGCATTATATATTATGTAATATTTATTTATATTTTATACAATATTATAGAATTTATAATATTAATAATATTAATATGTGCACATATACATAATATATATATATATATATATGTATAATTATATTATGAATATAATATAGCATGTAATTGGAATAAGTAATAATAATGAAGGAATTTCAATATTTAAATTTTTTTTTTTATTTTTGTTTTCATCTTTTTTCATTTTGAATTTAATTTCTCAAAACAGAAATTATTAAAAAAAAAAAATAATTTTTTTTTTTTTGCATTTAAAATTTTACTGAATGTGAAGAAATCAAAATTAAAAAAAAAATCTAATTTTTGCTTAAAAAATAAAAAATTTTTTTTTTTAAATATTTTTATATAAAATATGGTTCACAGTGATCGGGGTGGTCATGAAATTATCACTCCTTTATAATATATAAATTCTCCAATTTATTTTTGTTTATTATACGAAATTTAATTAATTTAAAAATTTTTAAATAAATTTCACATTTAATAGCTAAATTTTAATATTTGTTTTTTTTTTTTACAATTCAGTGGCGCAATTAATAATATATAAAAAAAATAGAAAAAAAAAAAACAAAAAGTACTTCAAAATATCTTCAAGAAAAATAAAAATATTAAATTTGAATTTTAGAGTTTCGTAATTTTCTTTTTTCTTAAATAACTCTAACTTAATATATTATATATATTTGATTCAAAGTTGCTTTCATAACTATTATTAAATAAATTTATTATTATTATTTTCTTTTTAAAATAAAACCCCAAAATAAAAAAAAATAATTAATTCAATCACATATATTTGATATTATTCAAAAAATAATTCTTATTATTGCAATTTTATTTTTATAAATTTTTAAAATTGAAAATAAATACTAAGAATTATTTTTTTTTTTTTTTAAACTCCTTAGTATTTAATTCCGTAAAATTCAGCTGTATTTTAAGAATATTTAAGAAATTTGATAAAAACTATTCTCCAAATGAAATGAAAATTTTTGATCTATGGGTGAAATCACGATATTCGATTAAAAAAATAAAAAATGGGAATGTCTTTTTTTTTTTGTAATTAAGTTCTGTAGAACAATTCAAAATTTATTTTATAGAAATTAATGTAAATTAATGAAATGAATATGCAATTTCGTAAACAGACAGAATATACAGCAAAAAAAAAAAAATTAAGAAATGAGAAAACTTCTTAAATTTAGAACCATTACGAATTTTAAATTACATACAACAGTTTCACTGAGAAATATGATTATTGTTGACAACAAAGCTTTGAAAAATTCAAAATAGAGGACTAAAATTGAAAGCCCTTTTTGACTTTAATGTTTATAAATTTTTAAGTATAAACACTTTTATCCGGAAAACTTATTTAAAATAACTCGAATAAGCCAATTAAAAAATTTTACGTTAATATAAATAAATACAATAATTTAATAATTTTTAATAAAATTTGGTATATATATATATTATGAACTATAAATAATTTAAAAAAGTTTTTCTTAGCGGAAATTTTATTAAAGAACTAATTTTGATTCAGAAAATGTCTTTAAGTGCTATACTTAGCATAAAATTTTATTTTTCCAAATACATGAATTTATGTAATAAAATTTGGGCTCTACCATTTTTTTTAAGAAGTAAATGTGTTATTATGTTTATATGAAATTGCATTCATATAATATGAAATTAACTAAAGTGTAATGTAAAATCAATAAGCAAAACTTGATGAAATTCATATATAATGCTGTACATAAAATAATACAAAAAAAAAAAAAAACAAAATATTTAATTTCTTTTTTTTTTTTTTGTTAATTTTTAAAAAATCAAGCTTGCGTATCAAATTTCATTAAATATGGGCCATACAAAATATTTACTTATCATTACAAGTGATATTTGTTAGAAAATGAAATTATTAATGATTTTAAAGTAAAATTAAAACTTAGTTTTTTGAATTTGTTTTTTTGATTTGTTTTGCACATAACAAGTGATCATATTTTTTTGAAATATATTGTGTTGTGCAGCAAAATTTATATATTTCCATTACATAACATTCTTTTTTTTTAATTATAAAACTGATGTAAAATATTTTGAAGTTACATTATATACACAGGTATATTTTATAGCAAAAAAAGAAACCGAACTTAACATTCATATATATTTTCTGTTTAAATTAATAATAAATAAAATATTATAAAATCATAAAAGTAAGAAGCAAAAAAATATTTTTCTTTTAAAAATTCAAAACAGAATATTTTTACTCAATAAATACCTAAAGGAAAATTTTTATTATTGACATTTTTTTTCTAAAAAAAAAAAAAATTCAAACTAAGTTAAATAAATACGAACAATAGAAATTGAAATTTTAAATACTTGCTATATAAAATATAAACATTGAGATTTAATTGTATACTTTAAACACCTTTTTATTGCATTTTAATAAATTTTATTAGTAGTAGTATTAATTTCAAAATTGATATTATTTTTTATTACAAATATATAGTGTAAATATTTCAAAATAAATTGAAATATATACATTTTTAGTTTACCATAATATATCAAATATTATATATGTAATAAATTATTAAATATTAATATTAAATAAAAAAAAAAATAAAAAATGAGATTCTAAGCATTTTATAAAAATGAAAATATTATAAATCACGATTTTTCATTGACATATTATATTACGTAGGAAACAAAATTTTGTTCCAATTACTTAATTTTTTTGTTTTTTTTTTTTTTGGAATGTAATACGAAAAGGCATTAGGCCAAAAAATTATTGTTATTAAAAATTAATTTGTACATATAAAACCCGAGATTCTAAAGAATAAATTTAATTTTTTTTAATAAAATAAATGAATGCTCAATGAAATGTAGTTTTGAAAGCATCAATCAATTATTTTGAAATTAAAAATTTATAAATTTTATATTACAATTTTGAATTTGAGCAATACAAATTTCTTTTACAATATAATTAAAAGAAATTTTTGCATTTAAATATACAAATTATTTTTATATTAAATTATTTATTTTTTTATATAAAATTCTTCCACAATAATACTACTATAGAATTATATTAAAAAAAAATTATAATTATTAATTATAGTTTTAATAGTTTTTGGTATATGTTAAATCTTTTTAACACATTAAAGTAAAATTAGTTTTATCAAAGTGATATTTAATTTAATTAATTGAATAATTGTTTTTTCAGTTTGAGAAAACAGCGATCTAGTAAAAATACTATTAAATTTGGTGTTTAATTTTTCCGAAACAAATTTTTTTTTTATTAAAACTGGAATTTTCCGAAGTACAAACTCAAATTAATTTATAACTAAAAAAGTTTTTTGTAAAAACAAGAAAAATTTCAAAATTCTATTTCCCTGATCAATTCATAATCGCATATTTCACCACCTGATCAAATTTTTTTTCTATTAATTATTTTATATTATGTCTGTAATTCAAATATTATTAATTTTTAAAAATTAGAAAATGATCTTAAAATAAATAAAATAAAAATTAAATAAAAAAAAAAATAAATGTTATAAAAATAATAATAATAGAGAAAATAAAAGAAAAATCTTAGACGTTAATACTTTGCCTAAATTTTTATATTAAATTCGATATAAATGCCTCATAAAAATAGTTATTAACGAAACTATTTTTTTGTTTATATTGTTTAATAAAAAAAGAAACTTTCTACAATGACAGCAACAGACAATAGAGACTTTTTTAAAGGCAGATTCTCAAAATACTTTAATTTAAATTTTTAACAAACGAAAACAAATTAATGAAAAAAATTTAAGGAAATTTTTAGAAAAAATTTTTTTATACAGTGGCGTTCTTTTTTAAACGCTTTTCGATCGCTCTTTTTACGAATTATTTAGGACTACAGCTTATTTCTATACCATATTTAAAAATTAAAAAAAAAAAAAAAAAACAAAATATTTTAATAACGAACACTTAAATTTTTTTTTTTTTCTTTTTTCTTTTTTTTTCTGATTTGGAAAGGACAATAAATTGCACAAAAATTTTTTTAAAATTTTTTAATATATTGATTTGCTTGTATGTTGCTCTGATTGTAGCTCGTTCCTAAATATTTTTAATAATTATTTTTTTTTTTAATTAAATTTCAACTTTTCTATTTTTATTTTTTTTTAACAATTTTTTTATCGCTTTTATATTATATATATATATAGATATATTTTACTTATTCTTTTTTTTTAATTTTAAATTTTATCTGAATAAATTTACACTTTATTACTTAAACAATTTACTTAATAAATTTGAATTTTGATAAATTTCCTTTTTTTTTTGCGAATCTTATTTTTGGAATTATTGTTTTCTTTTTTATTTTGTATATATGTATTCTGTAATTTAAACTTTTAAAACTAGCCTTCTAGAGTATGTTTTTTTTTTGCCTTTTTTGAGTTTTATAAATTCTCTTGGTTTTTTGTTTTTTTTTTTTTGTTTATAAAAAAAATGATTAATTATTTTTTTATTGTGATTTTCTTATAATAGTTGATAAATTGTATATAATTTTATGTTGTTGCATATTTCAGCATATTTACACTCATTAAATGATTGATCATATAAATATGTATAAATATATTTAATATATACACATATATATGTATACATATGTATGTATATTTACGTATTTCTTATTTTTTTTATATAATAATTAATTAATAACTCCTTTGAATTGGTATTTGTATGTATACGAATGATTTATATAAATATATAAATATTTAAATTTACAACGATATCAATTTTTTTTTTTATTTTGTATATTTTTTTCGTAATTTATTCTTTTTTTTTAGATTTTTGGATGTATGTATGTTTGTAGTTCTTATCTTTCATTCTTAATTTTTAAAAATTTTAAATTTTACTGTAAAAATTTATTGTGTTGTTGTAGGTTTTTATTTTTCCACTAAAATATTGCTTAAAAAAAAAACGCATAAAAAATGGTTAATAAAAAACTAAATATTTAAACCGATTTCGTTTTTTAGAGAACAAAATTTTTGATGAAGAAATATATATGCAGATATACATAAAGAATTTAAAAAAGTTAGAAAAAATTCAAAAAAATATTTTTTATATAAAATAATTGTAAAAATTTTTGAGTCAAACTCAAAAATTCGAAAATTTATAATTAAAATAAAATTTGGCCATGCAGTTTACAAATTTGTAAAAAATTTTATTTTGTGATATCGATGATATCAACATTATTTGCAAAAAGATTCTTAAAGGCCTCTTGAATCGCTTCTTTTCACGAATTATTTAAAATATTATGACTTTACAGAATTATTACTTACAAGAAATTTGTAAAAAATTAAAAAAAATTTAATATAAATTTATATATATTTCTTTTTTACACAAAAATTTCGTTCTTAATATAAATTTCATTTTGAATTTATCAAATACACATACATATATGTATATATAAAATAAAAAAAAAAAGGAAAATTCAGCTGTTTCGATTCAGCTTTTATGAAAACTAGCATTTTAATTTAAAAACTACAAAAACTAATTTTCAATTCAGACGAATTATCTGGTATAGTTAAATATAAAAAAAAAATTATTACTGAATTAAATCCCTAATTGGTGTAAAGCCTAAAATTCATTCGAAAAAAAAAAATTTATTAAATATTTTATTTATAAAAAGTTTACTATGCTAATAGCAAAAATTTCTATTTTTTGTTGCTTTAGAAAATTTTTATAACTGATATTTTTTTCATATTTCAGTTTTCACTATAAATATATATATATATATGTTTGTTAAATATTTCATTTTATACATCTTTCGTGTCTTTTTTCTTCTTCTTTGTATTTTTAATATATTTTTTCCTTACTTATTTATACTTTTATTTTTCTTATTTTATTTTGAAATCTTTTTTTATGATTCTATTACTTCTTTTTTTTTTTTTTAATTTTGTGTAGGAATTTAAAAAAATATATATTTATTAGAAAATAAAAATAATAATAATAAATTTATTTTTTTTTATTTTTATTGTTTGCGCCACGAGGTGGAGTTAATGGCCGCCCCGAGCCACTAAAACCTGGATAAACAAATCTACGTTTGTCAGCTGGCTTCAATATCTGGAAAGAGCACATCAGCGTATCATCAACAGACATCATTGCACCTAAAAGAATAATAAAAAATATCAAAATATGGTTAAATTAGAAAATTTTAATTCATAAAATTTAACGAAAGAAATTTTTTTATAAGATACATAAATATTTTTTGGTATCAAATAAATATTATTTTTAATTCCATAAAAAATATTAGAATTTCAAAATTAGTTAACGGAAACAGAAACGGTTTGAAAATTCTCAAGATTACAAACTTTAAGCCGAGATAAACAAAATGTTATCGCAGCTTGATGATTTTTGTTAATAAGATTATAATTATAATTCAGCATTTTTAAATAAAGCATTTTTAAAAAAAAAAATAATAAAATTAATAATCCTTGAAATGCCTTTGTTATTAATAATTTGAATTTATTATTTATTTTTTTTAATAATGTTTATTTACTTTTTTTGAAACTGCAACGTTAACTCATATATTCATCGAAGAATAATAAATAAAATTTAAATTTCGTTTAATTTAAGTAATCGTGAAAAAGATCATATCAATTCTAATGTATTAGATTTCTTTATGTAAAACAAATAATATAAATGTCATGAGGAGTTTCTAATTTCCTTTTTGCAATATATGAACAACCTTAAGAGAGTACCAATATAATTAATACATTTTGTATGCGAGAAATATTTTTGTTATCATATATGCAATATAAGGCGATAATCTATTAAATGCTAACCATTTCCGTTTGTTTATTACTTTATTAATCTAATATTAGAACTTATTTAACATCCATATAAAATTTAAATATTATTCGAGTTATTGTTTTGCTAAATTCATCAAAAAATTATTTTTTTTTTAATGTGGGTGTTTATGTATTTTGTTTATATAAATGTATGTATAAAAATTTTAATAAAAGTCACATTTTAAAAATTTTTTTTTTATAATGATATACATAATTGCATAAATACATTTACATACATATTTAATTAATTATTTTGATATTTATGGGGATTCAATAAATTTCTTAATAATTTTAAATTAAATTAATAAATTGATTTTTTGTATATTAAACAAGAGCTTAATAGGTATACTTTTATTTTTCTAAACTTACCGGCATTATCAAATTCACCACAATAATTTGGAGCTGAAAATAGGGTAACTAATTGTCGTTTTGCAAAGAATTCATATCCATCTTCAACAACTTGATGAGCTCGACAAATTAAATCAAAATCATGTTTATGCAAAAATTTCCCAACAACCTAAAATTAATTTAAAAAAAATTAATAAATAATAATAATAAATATTTGTTTTTACTAATATAATGTATAATAAAAAATTTAAAATTGTATATTTGGAAGTAAATTTTTTTAATTTTTTTTCACAGTATAAATGGCGACATTATAATAGCAAAAGAAATTATTCTAGCCTGTATAACACAGCGTTAACTACAAAATCTAAAATGATGATTTAATTAATTGATTGATTTTATAATCTTATAATTTCTATTTTAAAAGTTTTATTTCAAATTTTAAGACGCGATGTTTTTTCTATTACTTTAAGTATTTTAATTATAAATATATAAATATTGAATGTATGTAAATGCCTAATTATAACATTATATACCATATAATTAAAAAAAAAAATTATCGAAGAAAATTGCTTCCAATTTCAATTAAGAAAAAAAGGAACACTTTTTATTTTCTTTTAACTAAAGAGTTTTAATAAAACAAGAAATAAATTTTTTGCAAAATTAAATTGCGCTTTTAAATTAAAATTTTTCTTTATGACAAATACATAAATATTATAATATGATATATTTAAAAATAAAAATACAATGACTCATTTGTTTATGATTTTAAAAATCAACTAAAAATTAAAATAAATCAAATGAAAAATTATTAAAATTAATTTTTTATTCGTTTGTTATTTTCTTTATTTTTAATGGAAGATTATTGTTAAAACTATATTAAACTTCAAATAATTGAATTTTTTTTTTGGATTATTAATAAAATACTGTAAATTAAATTCGATGATCTTGTGAAGAAAAGAAATATTTAATTTAATTCTTTGACATTTTTGTGTTTTTGATGTTTATTCGAGATTCAATGAAAAATTTAAAATATGTACAAATACTTTTCCCAAAATAATTAATATACACTTTCTTCTTAATTATCAACTTTTTTAAAGCACGTATGTATACAAACACATAAAATTTCAATTCAATTTAATATTAATAAATTAGAGATATCCCAACAATTCTAATTGATCAGTTGAAAAATTTGTTTAATTTTAGATATTTAAGTATATTTTGATACAAAATCATGCGATATGAAATATAAACCTAATAAATTACAAATTCTAGAAAATTTAATAATTTCCATTTTTCAATTTTCTGTTTAATTAGGAACAAAACAACATATTAAACCTAATATGTAAAATTTGTGTAATTATTTAACTAATATAAACATTTTTTAGTTTTTTATAATTTTTAATAATTATAATATGGTGTTTATTACCTTATTAACTTAAACAAAACCAAAAATTAAATTGAAATAACAAAATTGAATTATACGAGTATTGGTTCGAAATATTTGTTCAAAAATATGAAAATTATAAATATATTATTAAAAATCATCATAAAAAGAAACTTTAGAACTGTATTCCCAATTTAAATTGTATTTGCTTATTTCTATTAGGTGTAAATTATCTTTGTATATTTTACCATTTATTTATTTAAAATAAAATTATTCATAATTATAATTGGAATCAATTATATTGTATGTGTATTTATGCAGTTATTTTTTGGCAGCAATAGAAGGCAGTAATAGAAATTAAAAAAATATTTAAAAAAATTGAAATTTATTAAATTTGCTTAAGATAATTTATACATTCGGTTTGGCAACAACACAGTACTAATATATAATTAAACTACTTTCATTCAATATAAAATTGAAATAATTTTGTATAAATAAAAAAGATGAAGTCAAAAACAAATAGCTATTATTTTCTATATTTATTTGCGAAAGTAATAACAATAATTATCGATTGTGTTTAGTAAACTCAATTATTATCTCACAATTAGAAAATTGTAAACAAATAAAAAAAATAAAATATATATTTATATATATATTTTTTAATATACAAATTTATATTCACATATGTATATGAAAAGCTCTTATATTTTATGGATGATTTAACAAGTTAAATTAACAATAGTAACAATTATATCAAAATATTTACTGTTGATAATTCTTAACAAATTTTTTAACAAAAAAGTCTAATTGTGTTCACATAATGCAAACAGGGTGTTAAACAAAATTAAATCACCTAACTGTTATATACCTAACTGTTATACATTTCAAAATATTATTATATTATTATTTTATTTAATAATACTACTTTTCTAATTAAATACCTTAATTTTCATAAAATGTTTTTTATTTTCTTGAAAAGGAGAATAATTTGAATTAATATAATTACAATATTTTGAAAAATTAAATTTGACCAAAAATTTTTTAATTACAAAACATATATATAAAAAAATATATACAAAATTAAAATATTCAAAAAATTTCCATAATTGTTACGAATGTGTTAATGGTACAACAAACTATTAATATTAAATTTAAGGAAATGAAGAGGAGAACATAATTACAAAATATTATTTTACATAAAAAAAAATGATTAAAAAAAAATATTACTGCCATGCACCATAGTTAAAAATAGAAATTAGAAACTTAAAAAATTTATTAAGAACTTAAAGGAAAATAATTTTATTAATACATAAACCCGCGTCATATTTTAATAAGAAATAAGTTAGAAATGTGTATGCATTTAGAAAAATTAATTTAAATAAAGAAAGTATGCGTACAACCATTCACAATTTTTAATTTACAATCGAAATGTAATTATAATCGATTAAAAAAAATTTATTTTAAATTAACAAAATATGTTTGAATTTAAAGATATTTCTTGCTTTTTATTCATATTGTTTTTGATAAGCTTTTTAATGTTGACCAATGCGGCAGGTTATTAACACTAAAGTGTAGTAAAATGGCATAATTATAAAAATTAAAGTTGAAAATTCCAAAATGAAATTATTGAAATATAAGAATTTGCAAAGGTTTTCTTTTAAATTTCATTCAAAAAATTTTGGTTATAAACCTTAATATAATGGGTATGCAAATTAATATAATAGATTTGTTGCGTAAAAAATGTAATTCTATGAAGTTTATCTAAATGTCAATATTTTTTTTTCAAAAGAATAGAATAAAATTTATTTAGTCATATGCCAGAAAGTAAAATTTCTAACTGAAATAAAAATTTTATTTTTAGTTTATAAAATGATGATGAGCTAAATACGCTGGAGTTTTTTTTTTTTGTATTTAGGTATATTAAATTGTATATAATATAAACAGAATTAATTATGAATAAACAAAAAAATTTTTTGAAATAAAATTATAAATTCCAATTGTTATACATATATGTATATTCATAATGTTAAAGTAATATGTATGTATATGAATATTGTTTTAACCTAAAGTACGGACAACATTTTTCTATTGAATCTTGTATGAAAAACAGGCAAAATTATTTAATTTATATAGGACAATTTTTTTAGTATAGGACAATTTTTTTAGTATAGGACAATTTTTGCCTCGAGTTTCAAAGTCACCATTCTTTTAGTTCTAATTTAGTTTAATGATATGAAAATAATTTGTAAAGTTGAGATTTTTTTATTATTGACCTTCCAAAATCTAAAACCAATTTAATAGCTAAAATTACATAAAAAAAAAGATATTAAAAAAATCAAATTTTTTTCTTAATAAATTTGTAAATTTAGATTGTTTAATTTAAAATAGCTATTTTGCTTTGCTTTTTTTTTTTGAAACATGCCGTTATAAAATATTTATATACATAGTTGAACTAGTTAACAAAAAAATTTAATTGTGTTGTTCTGTAATGGGTTAATTAAAATTTTTATTTATTGATACGGCGCCCACACACACATACGTATTTATGTATTATATTATAATTACGAAAAGTCAAGATCATAGACTATATTTATGCATATATATATATGTATGAATATATTTATTATTTTTGAAAATTTGTAAAAATATTAGAAATTAAAATTAATTCCAACGAAAATATTCGAAAAAATAAATTATTTTTGATTCCAAAAGAATATGTTTTTTTTTTTTAAATTTTCCTGATTCTATAATTTTTTTTTTGTATTTCATTTCCTAGTAAATTGCGTATTTAAAACAAACAATGTTTATTTAATTTAAAAGCAAAATTTTTTTTTTCAACATTTTCTCTTTTCATCAGTAAATTTTATACGGATTTTATTTATTTATTTTTTTTTTTAAATCGCTATATGAAATACTCGAAATTTTTGAGAAAGAAAAGCTTTTGTTTTTTTTTATTTTATTTTCTTTTATCGCTTTTGTTTATAATCAAGCACACTTTTCATAAGTGATATAATGTTTATTTGCTCAGATATATATATATATATATTTATCTATATATCTATATTAAATATATCTATAGTTATTCTTAAAAAGTAATGTCTACAATCATATGCACATAATATACAATATATTATACAAGTAAAATTATAGCTAAATTTATTTAAATTAGTTCATTGACTCATATTAAAAATTTTTTATTTAATTTTGCTAAAATATATACATACATACGTATATATTAACTGTGAAAAAAATTAAAATAAAAAAATTACGTTTTTTTTTTTTTCTTTAACTATAATATGCACGAGTAATAAATATAATTGAAAACTTCAAGGAGAAAATTTATTTAAAATTACCTCAGCTCCAAATGTAAAACTAACACCACGATCATTTTCACCCCAGCCCATTGTATCTTTATCGGGATCTGACCATAATAGATCACATAATAAACCTTGATCTGGTACATCAGTTGGTCTCATAATACGTCTAATTTGTTCCATAGATGTGAGATCAGGACTCAAGCCACCATGACAGCAAAATATTTTTTCATCAACTAGAATTTTTTTTTTAATATACATATATTTATTTAAATATAGAAATATAATATACGTACAAAATATGTATTTTTTATTCATATTAATAATATTGAATCAATATTCATTAATTATTACGAATCTTATATTTATTTATTTAATAATTTATTATTCAATATGGTACACAAAAGTACAAATATATCTCTGAATGAATTAAATAAGAAATATAAAATATATATTGGAATTTTTTATAAATAAATTTTGTGACAAAATATTTTAGGATAATACTAAAATAATAAATGAACCAACTTTTAATAATAATTTAGATTCATTTTTAGAAATAATAAGAGTCAATTTTTATTACATTTATTTTTTTTATTAAGTAAATGAAATTTTATTATTATACTTGGGTGGGACAAACAAATATAAATAAAATTGAGTAGGTTATTTTTTTAAAAATATTAGAATTGAAATTAATTAAAAATAATTTTGTTATACAAGTAAAGTTGTATAAAATTTTTATAGTTATATTAATTACAGTAAAAATTTCATTGACAAAAAAAAATGAATAATTATTTGTTATAATTGTAAAATAAATTTGTATAACACTAACCCAAGTATTTAATGTAATATTTTGATGAATATTCCTATTAAATAAATTAAAATTTAATTATTTTATAAAACATACCAATGGCTGCAACTGGCAAACAATTGAAACAGTCTGTAAAAGTTTTCCATAATTTAATGGTGTAACGTCTTTTACATTCATCATAGAAACTGTAAATATAAAATTAACAAATAATATAATTAAAATATGTATTTAATTATTTTTAAAAAAAAAAATTATTTTTCAGTCAAATGGATTAAATAAATAAAAATTTATTGTAAATAACACATTTTTACTTTGGTTAACTAAACGATGTTTTACTAATCTCTAAAAAAAATTATTATGTTAAATTTGTAATTTTTTAGTATAAATGTTATTGAAATTTAAAAATTAGAAATACAACTATATATTTGCCATAAATAATACTCATTTATTCGATAATATTGCCATTATGACATTAATGTAAAGAATAATAATCATAAAAGTAAAGAGAAATAATATATGAAGTTAATTCTCTATATCTGTTATACTGATTTTTCTTAACATTCAAACTGTTTAACATTGAAGAACAAATAAAAATATTGATACATTTTAATACCTCGAATATACGAGTACTTCGAAATAACCTCCATACCAAAATCATTCTAATATGTATATGTGTTATAAAATATGTGAAGGAGTTCAAAATCACTGATCAATATCATAAATTATGAATTTTACAACAAAATTTTTCATGATATTAATATAAGAGAGTAATATTTTTACTGTATATCAAAAATCCGTAAATATTGGAGTTGTATATATAAATTATAATTTGATATATGTATACTTAAATGTTAAACGTATAACACAAATTTAGAAAGAATCTTACTATATTCTTATACGTATAACACAATTTGAATTTTACTATATTCCAAATACAAACTCTATAATAGTATAATAAAAAGTATATAGTAAATAAAATTTCACCTGACACAATTTAATTTTTACATAAATTCAAAATTTGTATAATTTGCTAAGCGGGTCTTTCTTTCTAAAAGAATAAAAGAATTTCCTTAAATAATCAAACAAAAAAAACAAAGTAAAATAAAACAAAACGGAAAATTGCTTAACACCAATTGAAACTGATAAAATTTATTCATGATTTCAAATGTCTATGAAAAAAAAATATTAAATTATTCTAGTTAAATGAAAATTAACAAATTTATTTTATCTTTTAAAAGTATTCAATGTAAAATATATTTAAATCCCACACATTGTATTACAAAAATACAAACCACTTACTTATATTTTTGCCCATACAAGTACATTAAATATATCTCACCTATCATCCCGGAAAGAAATGGAATAACTCAAATTGATTAGTTTAAAAAAAAAAAAAATAAAGTAATTTTATTTTATATGATTTTGATCATTAAAACCTTGATCAATAAAAATATAATCGTTTAAAAATATTAGAAAATTAATAAGTTTTAGAATTTCTAAAATTTAACGGAGTTGAATTTAAGAGTCTAAATAATCTAATAACGATAGTCATAAGTGTTGTGACTTTTAGCGTGTTCCTTCAGATAATAGTGGAACAAAAATTTATGGAAATCCTTATAGTTTCCATACGATATTTCGGAACTGTTATATACTTTTTGTATAATTTTAGAAATATTATAAAGTAAGTAATCGTTGAAGTTGCGTCTTACTTGCTCTGACTATTTAATAATATCTTATGGACAAACAGTTTACAATTTGTATATAGTTTTTTATGAAATATTCAAATAATCTTAAGAATTGCATGGAGACTATAACAAAAAAATATTGCAATTGTTATCTAATCGCTTTCATAGTTTAAATATTTTGAGAATTGTTTAAATAGGCTTTTATTTGCATAAAAAAAACGATCGACTTCTATCCTAATTTCCTATTTTTATTATCTACTCCTAAGATATTTTGATATCGTAATTTCCATAATTTCTGTCGGTAGTAATCTCTCATTTTCTATTATTTTCCATAAAATAATGTTGCAGTTAACTATTGGAACATTTTTTGCAATCATATTTTAAAAGAAACTTAAAAAACACAAAATATGGATTTATATCACATTTCTTCTACCTATCTGTATGCTATAAGACACAAAAAGATATGTAAGAGTGTAGAAGCGTCAAAACAAAATGATTCTTATATTGAAAAAAAAAACTTTTCTAATAAAAAACAATAAAAAGATTATTCTATGTCCATATTTGTAAATACAATATATGAAACTTATATATATATATATACGTAGGCATATATGTATATATATATATATATATAGAAATTTGTAAACAGTATATAGGATTCTGTTAAAGAAGTGCAAAATTTGCATATAGATTTTAATAAAATATCGCGATTTTCAAAACAAAAAAGCAAAAATAAGAAAAACTCTGATATGACAATTGTTTAATTTACTAGTAAAATCCGGTTTTCGGTGAAAATAACAAAATTTAAAATATTTTATTTGAACACGACATTATAAAAAATATGCTCTAATAAAAAGAAAACAAGAAAAAAACGATTTATAAAAATATTACAGTCACTTTAAAGAAGAATATTTCATTGTAAAATTTTTTTTTTGGTTTAATTTAATTTAACCTAATTTATTAATACATAAATCACCATTTATTTAGTATATTCTAAAAAATTAATAATAATAATTTTAACACATTTAATTACAAATAGAATTTATTTATGAAACTTGAAATCAAAAATACCCACTTTACATTCTAATAAAATTATTTAAATTCAGAGCATTCTAAATATGAATTTTTAATAAAAAATTTAAAAAATTATTGTAAAAAACAACATTAAAATTTTTGTTAAATAAATTTCTTACGAACGAGCTCTTCTACATACATATGTAATTGAAATATTAAGTATATAGAAACTAAATTTAGGTACATGTGACCATTTAGCACATGGGGTTCAAAACAGTATGTGAAATTTAATTTGAAAAAAAATTATAAAATAAAAATTAATATTAACACCAGAATTCCCTTAAAAATTCCAGCTTTTGCTGATTAATAGAATTTTACAGTTTTCTGAAGACCTCTATTTTACGAAGCTTTGAATTAATTGAAACACGTTATTGATTCACTTAAAATATCAATTAAAATATAAAATTAAAAAGAAAAATAAATTACAGAAAGTGATGCCATACTTAAAAATTCATCAATAAATTAAGAGATACGAAGGCGTATACGTGCATTAAAATCCAGCGAAAATTTATATCATTATATAATAAGGTGTACCCAATAATGACAAATTGCGATCGACAATATGTAATTGCATTTCCCGGTAACCAACAGGCAGTTAATAATCTATGCTAAAAATATTTTACCTATCAACTTTTGTATACAACTTTTGAATTCAACCGGTTGTTAACTGCTTTAGCAACAGAATTATTTTTAATAATTTAAATTTGACATTTTACTAAAATATTATTTCATTAAATAAAATTAAATTTTGAAAATTTTTCATTTTGCACGAAAAACAAAATCATCAGCTGAAATTATATTAGAAAAAAGTAAAAAAATTTAACAATATGACAGGAAATTGACAGTATTAATTGTACTTTTACAACATCGAAAGTTACAATGATTTTGTTAACTGCAATATGGAATAATATGCAAAAAAAATTTAACGCGCATTTTAAATTATCGATTACACCTATAAATTATATTAAAAATTTCTTCTATTTATTCTTCTATTTTCCATTCACATCTCAATAAACTAAATACTTTGTAAATTAAGATCAACATTTGAGAAGAAAGTAAGTAAATAATATGTAGCATATAAAACAATTTGTTCCGGATCATGTAATTTCCGATATTTCTACCATAATTCTTTGTACAATTTAATTACAACATTTTGGCAGCGATCAGATTATTATTAAAAAAATAAAAAGTTCAAAAATAATTTCTTCAATGTAAACGTCATAATTTCAAAATTTCAATAACAATATAAAATAACTATGTACGTGCAATTAAAATAAAAAATGTTTCATTAGTTTTTATGCATAAAATTTATTTATAGTAAATTTTCGTATATATCAAGGTAAACTCATTGTAAATGTGTAAAAAACAAAACAGAAATGTTAATGAAATTTTTATTTTACATGATTCATAATATTTAATTTATAAAATTGTAAAATATCAATGATTCCCGCGTGTTCCACAGATGATGAGGATGAGACAAGCTAGTGACCATCAACAAAAATAAAACAAAAAAAAAATTGTTTTGCCAAAATTGTTTACGTTTCAAATAAATGCAAAATAAATAAATATTGCAATTGCATATTCTCTTAAATGTGTTTTTTATTAGCTTCTAATTATTTATTTGTTTATTGCTTATTATTTCCACTTAAGTGAGCTACATATACATACATACATATATATTTTTATTTTGTATGTAGTTAATAACAGAGCGCATTTCATGTAATAAGGGAGGTAATGTGATGGCAACAAATTTTGTATATCGAGTTTTCTGTAGAAACGCACTTTTTCATATGAGGGAAGCGTAAATAAACTATTTATTAGAAAGATGTCGTTCTGTATTGTAATATTTAAATTCAGGAAGTTAAAACAATTTTTATAATAAATTTTTTGGAAATACCAGGTCTGGGAAACCGAATTATAAGTTTATTTTACATTTTTACCATATCAAGCGAATTAATTGACGGAATCTTTTGAAATGTAATTTTTAAGATGTGTTTACTATCGAAACTAATTATTTTGGACCCCTAATTAATTATAAACTAATTATTTTTGGGTGTCATAAAGCGGACCTCGACTAAGAGCCAAAGTTATATTTTTTAGTCATATTTTTTAACTAAAAGTTTCCTAGCGTCCATGAAATTTAAAAGAAATCTTTAAAAGGAATTTTCATAATATTGTGCAACACTTTTTCTAAATTAGACAATACATGTTGCAGTTGATTATGTGCTGACCACATTAAGAATTTTTTTTTTGAATAGAAATTTTAATACACGCGTTTTTGTTTTTATATACAAGATAGTAAAAAATTAATACACAAGCTTAAAAAACACATATATATAATAATTGTATATATATTATATAATGGATAAATGCTGAGCTAATAAAATATATAATTATAGATATTGTTTTATAGAATTTCTTTGTTAATTATATCAAATTTCCTATAGTTTAATATTTAATTTTTTAATAAATTGCAATTTGATTTCGAAAATTCTAGTGATATAACAGCAAAACAACTAAATTGCCAGTTTGAATTAAAGTTTGTTCAGAGTTAAATTTGAAATATATTTATACCTATACTCATATTTTTCCAAAGATTATATAAAATTAACGAAAATATCTCTCCAGAATTCTACTGATCCCGGAATAAATTATTCATATTTGAATAAATTCAACTTTTATATTTTATGGATATGAAACACATGTTGTTAATAGTTCATATCAGAAATATGCTCATTAAGTATATATACAAAATTCTTATTTATATATAATTAGCTTTTATTAGAAATTATATACTTTCTATTAGTTAAGGTTCTTTAAATATGCAATAGATATATATTTTTTTTGTTGGTTTTTTGATGCCTATAATGAAATTATTTGAATATTAAATTACTTTTTTTCTTTTTATATATTACATACATAGTATATATAAAGTTAAAGCAGTCCAAGATTTCCAAGTTATTTTCAATTTATCTCATTTCTCTCTTATAAATATTTTATTACCAATATTACAATTTCGGGAAAGATTATTCTTAAGCAAATTGAAATTTCTATTATTAATTTATGTATACATATATATATATATAAAAATTGATATATTTATAATACAGAACTTATCATATATAATTTAATATAACAAAAAAATTAAGTAAAAGAAAAACAAGAAGAGAAATGTGAGCTTAATAATTTAAATGAAAAAAAAAAAATTATAATTTCATTAAAATTTCTCAATGTCACTTTTCCTCATCCCTAACATTAGTCTGTCACTAAAAACTTAAATAAAAAAATAAAAAGGAAAATTTGTTTAAATAAAATTTAATTAAAATTATAAAACTTACCCATAAATTCTGTTTATACTAGCACATTCATGATTTCCTCTAAGTAAGAAAAAATTTTCTGCATATTTTATTTTATATGCTAATAATAAGCATATTGTTTCCAATGATTGTTTGCCACGATCGACATAATCTCCCAAAAACAAATAATTTGATTCTGGTGGAAAACCTCCATACTCAAAGAGACGTAATAAGTCATAATACTGCCCGTGAATGTCACCTAAAAGTAAAAAAAAAAAAAAAACGTAAACACCAAATAAATAAATATAATATAACAAAATAAATTGAAATTTTGTATTATTAAAATACACAAACAAAAAAAAAATAATCTTTGCATATACTTTTAATATTTGTATATAAAAGTTTGTTATATATACACTCATACGAATATAAAAATATTATATGTCTGTATATCATATTATAGATAACATGTTACACTGCATAATATTCAAGTATAAAATAATATATTACGTTTATACAATTATATTATATTACAATTTAAATGAAAATAATTGAAATTTTATACAAATATACAAAAAATATAATATATGTATGAAAATACAGTAAAGCTAATTTTTAATAACAATAAATTTATTTATATTAATTTTCAATCTGATAAATTTGAATTTTATTTAAGCCTTCAAGTCATTCGATAGCATTACTTTTATAAAATTTTCAGTATACTGGCTACATCGTTTTTAAAAAATCATTTATATTTCCTATTTAAGTTACATAATGTAGGTATATTAGAGTAGAGGGGCAATAATTATCAATTGACAAAATAGCAATCAAAATTTTTCTTAATAAATAACTATTTAGACAAAGTCTATTGTAATAAATGAATACAATGAAATCAAATAGTAATTACTGCGAGAATGTTACAGAAGTCTTACAGGCAACACAATCAATTTCTCTACATTAACACCATATGACAGTTTTTGTGAAACAGTTTTTAGAAAACATTTGAAGAAAATACTTTCATGTAAATTTAATTAGAAATCAAGCTGTATTATTCATCAGTTTAAACTAAACAAACAGACAACATTTAACATTTATAGAAAACGTAACATTTAAGCATCGCAACATAATTACGACAGTGATACAGCAACATTGTAAGCAACATTATATTACGCAGTGTTACATTTTATGTTTGCTTTTTAATTTCACTCACTAATTTTTCTCTTCTTTAAATAAGTTAAAAGGAAAAAAAAATTAAATATGGTGAGATACTTGCATTTTACTAGAAAATTTTTAAAACAGAGACAAAAAGAAAAACTTCTGTTTATTTATTTTTCAATTTTATAAGTATTTTAAATAAGTAATTGATATCAATAATTCAAAATTGTAATTCAAGTTCAATTCACGTTAGTGAGTATATATTCAATTGAAAATTATGTATTATACAACTCTTCATGTACAGAAATACAGTAATATCATTGCCATGTTATAATATGTAATAACAAAAATTGGAGAAAACACTTGATCAAAATATTAGCCGTTGATCAAAAATTAGTTGTTTTATAAAATATATTTGCAAAAATTATTAATACCATATTTATTTAATATTGATTACTTATAATTTATGCAATATGACACTACTAAGTTACAATTTTCATCTGCATTAGCTTTGTTTTCTGAAATTCTTTAAAAATTAAAATTAAAATTCTTTAAAAATTTGAAAAATTCAAAGAATTTAAAATAATGCTGATTTATTTAGAATTGCAATGATAAAAGATTTTTCAAAAAAAAATTAATAATTACTTAAATGCGAAGAAAATTAAATTTAAAATTAATCAAAATTAATATTAAATTTATTTGCAATTTACGACCGGAACTAACTACCACACCAATTACATGGCTATTAAATGAAAATTATAACATAAGAATTTTAATTTTTTCATACTATAGGTACTTTCGGTGTTTTTAAAAGCTCTACTATTATTTTTACACAAATATTTTGCCGCCAAATATCAAAATATAGTAATTTTGCTCTACAAATCATAGAACGTGCTCATTTATCTCGCTACTCGCCAAAGTGAGAAGAAAGTGAATGCCTACCATCATAAATTTGTATACATATAATTTATAATTTTCGAGTGAGAAAAATTTTTCCGTAATTACGTATCTCGGCTTTTCTAAAACGTATACAAAATTTAATCTCTATTTATTTGTTTTGGAAGATGATAGCTTCAGCGTTCATTCGATATTTTGAGAAAAAAATACAAAAATTCAATTGAAATGAGTAATATTACGAAAAAAAGTGAAATATCCATTAGAAAAGAAAGAGAATTCTGATTTGAAATTAAATTGAAAATTGGAATGAAAAGGCGAGATACAAAACTAGGCTGATAAGCGTACACGTACTATTTTTTATCTTCAACAAAATTGAAATTTAGAAGTGTTTGTTTCTAAGAACTTTAATAACAAAAAAAAAAAATAAATTGTTTAAAATTGTTTATTTTATCTAAACTTTTTTGTTTTATGTACTAAACAAAATATAATTTTAGAAAGTTATACTTGTACATCGTTAGTTTTATTTTATTTACAAAACTAGTGTTCGCAATGACTTTATTGTAAAATGAGTTTATTCTGTACAATATAACGTTCAGCTTTTTTCATTGCATAATTTACAAGTATAAAAATAAAAACAAAAAAAAAACAAAATTTTATTATTGGCAATAATATTTGTTTGTGTTGCTTTTGTATTTTTTTAATTTATGATGTCTGTATTTTATTATAAAATAATTTTAATGTTGATAATAATAAAATTATTTTAAACATAGTTGAATTTTTGTTGAAATTATAAGTTTTTAAACAAAATTGTGTTGATTCATTTTAATAGTTTATTATTGAATTTATTATTTTAAGTCTGGAATTGGACAACATTTTAGAATTATATGATAAAATAAAAAAAAAATTTTTATAACACTTTAAATGTATAACACATTTTTATCACAATTAATATAAATAACTAGTTGAATAATAAATTTTATTAATATTTAAATAAGAATTCAGAATTACAATTTTAATAATTTAATCAAAATTAAATTTTCTTTACATGATTTTTATCTAAAAGCAACAAATCTTGATTATCAAATCAGGAAAACTTTTCGAAAATTTGTAAAATTTTTTTGTATAACAATAGAATAATTTAATTTTCTTACAATATTTTCAAGCAATTTTTTAATTACAGTTTAAATGATAAATCTGATGTTTCTTAAAAAATTTCCCACTAATTAGCAATTCACTTAGCATAAAAAACAAAAATCCCTTAACAACAGTAAAATAATCTAGATTTTTTTCTCTCTTCTCTAATCAGAAATATTTTGTGACTTTTATAATATATATATACACATATCTTTAAAATCATTCTCATTATTATAATTCTATTCAATTTTTATTTTAACATGAAAATATTCTCATCCCATAAATTTCATTCTTAAATTATATATATAGGTATTTTATTATATTGAAGAAGTTTCGTACTAAAATTATCATAAAAAAAAAACCAAGTTATATATATATATTTTTTTAGCACTTCAATTATTTACTCGTGTTTTAGGTTTATTATTGAATAATTTAATTAACAAATTGAAAAAAAAAATGTGTAAATATTATTAAAAGAACCTATACATAATTTTATAAAAGTAATTGGGGGTATTATTTATAAATATATGCCTACATTTATAATAATAATAATGTGTAACTTGTTTTTGAAATGAAATTGACAGCTAAATATCCATAGGTTTTTATAAATACATTAATCGTTACCTCTAGAAACATTATTATGTATTTATATTAAAAGCAATAATGTTATCATCAACTTTTCAAAACAACAATTCTACCTACATAGCTAATTTTGTTATAAAACACGTGCTTATATTTTTTTAATCGTAAATTGAAATAATATTTTTTTATGAATTACAAAATTTTGACCTATGTATGTAATTACATTTTTTTAATTGTAAATATAATAAAATTAGACAATTTTCACTAAAATATTCTGTTTAATTTCATAAGATTTGATTTTGTAAAATTAAAGAACCATTAAAGAAAAATCCAGATTAATGTGATAATTTGATAAATATCTAGGTGATTACAAGGTGTATTATAAGGTATTTTTCAAATTCTTCCGCTATATTTACATAAAATCAGTAGTTTCTCATAAATAAAATCAACTACTTGAGTTGTACATTGCAATTAATGTCTCTTAAATTTTTTATATATTCAGTTTCACAAGATAATATATTCAATGTCAATTCTTAAGACTATGTGTGCGTATTTGAATTCCCTATTATTAAGAGGCTTTATATTTTAATTCCCAACCCCATTAAATAATTATTATCTAATGTGGGATCTGCGAATATTACAATTGTATATTAATATTTTTTTAAATTTCAAATATGTAATCAGTTTGCCAATTTTGTCGAAAAGAGGTACAATTTTATTTTTTTTTTCCAATCAAATTTATTTTCAAACGATTTCTTTTCAATAAAAACAAATTCCATTTGAATCAAGTATTAAAAAAATATTAAATACGAATTTTACTGTAAAATGAAAAGCAAATTTTTAAATAAAAACAATAATGTAACAAAAAGGAATGATCATCGTTCAATTGGCATTTGCACTAACGTTGATTATTACAATTTTTTTTTTCTTGCTATTTGTGTTTCCTTTCCTCTTTCTGTGAATTGTTTTTCTGTGGCATTGTTTTTGCTTTAATATTTTTTTTTTTTATTATTAATATTTATTTTTTATTATGGTATCGATTTACTTTCGAAACCAGTTAATTTCATTCATACAAATTACATACATAATATTCTTTTCTATTAGAAAAATATTTTATTCATGTTTTTATGAAGAAAAACAAAAAAAAAATCAGATGTGAACAGCACATAAACGACCGCATTTTTAAAGTTTTGCATGAAATTATGAAAATTTCCTTCAAAATCTAGAAAAATTTAAATTTGGTTCTTAGTAGAGGTTCATTTTCCGGGATTCGATTTAATATTTAGTTTCATTAACAACCAAAACTCAGATATCGAATTTCAAAAAATTTCATCAACTTGTTCCTGAGATATAATAAAATATGTAAATTGGCTCCTAATGAAAGCTGTGTTTTGGAGCCCTGATATTCTGTAGAAATTTACTGGTTTAATAACGAGATTTTAATATTTCATGTACATTATTTCTCTATATATGAGCAAAAATGTAAAATCGGCATTAGTAACGAGAAAGTTCCAGAATCCTGGTATATTACAAAAATTGAATAAACTATTTCATCCTTAAACTGCAATATAAGTTTTCGTGAAAATTGGTTAAACCCAAATTGAGATATAAATCTGCACATACAGACTGAGCGACAAACCGACAGATTGGCAGGCATCTCTCTCTAAAAACGGTTTCTCTACCATGGAGAAACGCATGACTCGACATGCGAAACTTGATGCCATCACATTACCTTCCTTACATGTCATGCAGTCGGTAAAAAAAATATTCTTATTTTTATTGTTACGCAATATGTACATTATTTTTGTTATTGTATATATATACATATATTTATCTAACAATTTATATATTATTGTAATGTAATAAAATTTAAAAATAAATTTAGAAAAATTGTTTTTGACCTCATTGTTTCATTCATATACAATTTATATTAAAAGTATGTATGTAGATAAAATGTAAACCTACATAAATAAAAAGTATTTACGTACACACCATTAAATTGAAATTCTTCTTTAAAGAAAATAAAAAAAAAACTTAAGTATTATTTGCTTTTAGTTTCTATCTCTCGTAGTGACAATTATAATGAATAACCATAATATAACCATAGTAAAATTTTATAACTGCAAAAGCAAAATAATATTGGTATAGGCATAAATTTTCATTTTCTTTTCTTAATTATGAAAGTATACCAAATTGAAAATATGCTTATTATGTATGGCAATGTATTAATTACAAAGCACACGCAATAAGTAACATATGGAGAATTGAACAATTTGATATGAGGTGCTAGTAAAAATTCATAATTTTTTTTTTTTATAGTTTATGACGATTGCTTATGACGATTTAATGCTATTTTGCCTATAACAATTTGCGTTAAATAATCATAATATATTCAATTAATTACGTAGAGCAAAAATAATTCAAAATTCTGAGTCACTATGAAAAATAATCGAAAACGCAATTGTAAATATGAATTTAATAATATCAATTGGAATAGTTATAATTGATATACACACATACATAGTTAAAAAATATATAAGTATTTAAAATTAAAAGACCGGTTCTGTTGCAAAGAACAATAATTAAACGTCAGCGTACATTTGAAATCTAAATTATATTGACATCATACTGACATGAAAAACTTTTCTGATTTCATTTAAATTTTGTTTTTCCTTTAAAAATTTAAATTTTATTTTAACAATTTTTTAACCTTTTACTCATACTTTTCCCAAGGAACTAAAGCTATTTAGATAAGTGTAGGCAAGTAAAGTATAAAAAAACAAAAACTGAGTAATGATTTGAATAACATGAAAGTTTATCACGAAAAAATTATTGATTGTTTGTTTTTCTCTCCTTTTTTTTTTGTGATTTTCAATTTTCTATTATGTTTTTTTTTTTTCATTTTCTGTATGAAAGTAAAAAAAACCACTCAAACCACAAATTATTTATCATAAAACAAAATCAAAAATTCTATCATACTTCTTTTTAATTGAATATAAAAAATTAAATGCAAAATACATATATACACATGATACATGAATAAATACATGAATATTCGCGGTCGCTAGAGTTCGAAAACCGTGATCTATTCACTTTTTAGTAGCAAAAAAAATCAATGTTTTATGCTATCTAGTATATAAATATTGTCGTCCCGAAACTATACTGTCATATTTTACTAAATAATCAAAAATAGTTTTTCTTTCAATTAATACACCCGTGAAAGAGGAAAGGAAAATCACTTTCTCTTAACTTCAGCACAGTCGAAATCATGTGTTTTCAATTTGCTCCTTATATTTAAATGCTTTCTTCGAAATGATTTTGTAATTTACTCTTATTTTCATTACTTTTTAAAATACCACAGTTTAACTTCGGGGCGACGACATTGAATTTTAACAGGAACTGAAATTATCAATGTTAATTTTAATATGAATTAGTGTTAATAAACTTATGTAGTATAATCTTTATACTAATAAGAATAATATCATATTGGTAAATGCTATATAGGTAAATATTTATCAATGAGCAAACCCAATAAATATGAGAAGATATCAAAATTACGAACAGATAGAAAATTACCTACAAAATCTATAGGAACCCTACCTATACTTAAGAAATAATATTTCGATTCCTCAAATGATTACAATATTAGTACTTATCTCCCTACCTACACCTAGTTACAACAATAATTATTTAAGTCTTCAATTTATATAAACTATTAAACTGCTGCCTATGATTTTAATAATGAAAAAAAAAAATCATGAAAATTTCACTTGAGTTACTAAGTAAGTATGCGTATTTCTTTAAATGTTTATATAAACAAAAAAAAATAATCTTTTTTAGGTTATTTTTCTTTCTTTACTATCTACTTAAACTAAATAGATGTGAAGAAATCTTTAAAATAATTTCCTCTTAAACATGTAAATAAAAAATTACATTTCGATACTTGAGAATATTTTTTGCGCAGTTGGATACAGTGAATAAGAAACAAATGATTGATTTTTATAAAAACCATAAAATCTAACAGACATACCATATTGTTTATATGTAGGTACATATATACATACATATAATATTATAAATATATTATATAAACTTGTATATACATACAATAATTTAGATTTTAAAGAATTACATATAAAAAAAAAAATTTGCTAAAATTTTCATACTTATTTTTGAAAAATAAAAATAAAATGAAATATTATTTGTGATCACTATTAAAAAAAAAATATTTTAACCTTGACCTTGAACATTTTAAAATATAAATTAATTTCAAAAATTACTTTTCCCCCCGTTTTTTTTTTCTCTGTTTTTTCTACTTTTCCATAAATATGGAGAATTATTTTTTTTTTACCCAATATTAAAGTAAATTTCGCTTTTGTGTAGACTTATTATAAATATATTTTTCATTTATTTTTAAATAATAATTTATTATTTTAAATTATTTCTATTCATTTATTATAAATATTGCTATAAATTTTTGAAATTGTTTTCTGAAATTTTATTATTTACATTGATTATTTTAAAATTTCAATATGAAAATTAAAATAAATTATTTTAATAAAGAAATATTATTGTAGGCACCCTACATTTATGTTGAAAGTGTTGATGTACGAGTATACATTGTTCATATACTTACATTTTTTTAAAAATAAATTTTGCAAAGAGAACAATTCTTAAGTAAGTATAGTTCCAGTTTAAATAGAATTTAAGTTGATATATATATACATATATATATATATATACATGTAGGAATACCTACTTAATTAGTATCTAATTAAAATTTGATAAAATTAAATGTATTTTTTTACATCAACACTTTTATAGGTAGGTTGCACCCTTCATTTGGAACAAAATATTCGTAGCACTAATTGAAAAGATAAAAGAAATTTAGATAATTTTTGATAACGTATCATCGTCAAGTTCTTGTTTTGCTCTTCTTATTTATTTTATAATTTATTGTTTCTGTTTTTTTTCATTTTTTTATTTAATATTATGTGACAAATATTATAATATTTAAGGTTAATATAAAATAGTTAATATTACGCAGGCAATCACCTATGTCCATACTAATGTAATAGAAAATATTTTATCTTCTTTAATTTTTTAAGCAATCATAAGCATTACAGCTTGAATTTATACAAAATTATGACCAAAACTCATCCGACTAAGTGAAAAACTGCACTGTACATCAAATTACTACCAACAAAGAAAAAAATTTAAATTAATTTTACATCATCCAATTTACACCGAATATTACATAGATCTTATAAATATTTAAAATTTGGTCTAATATATAAATTGGCTTATACACTGAAATTTTTATAGAAATATAAAATAATATAATGAAAAATAAAATACATACCGCAAATTTTCAAAGGTGCTTCCAATTCCAGTAAGATTGGCTGTGATAAAAATATTTCCCGTGATTTTAAACATAATCCACGGATTTCACTTTCTGATAGTTGTACATTTTTTCCTGGTCTAGCTCCTCTAACTGAAATGAATAATTAAATAAATTATAATTAATATTAAGATTTATTTTAATTTAATAGATATTTAGTAATATTTTAATAATATTATCAAACAATTTAATTAATTCGTAAAATTTTCTTTTAATGTTAATTTTTTTCTGATCAATAACATATCAATCTGTTAATTAGAATTCAATTTCGCGTATTACTTGATGTGATTGGACTCAGTTAGGCACATAACTTCATATATGTTGGGATATGATTTAAAAATTTTATAATTTGCATTTTTTACAAAATAAAATCAATTTCTAAATTTGAAATTTAATACTTTTGAATAATGTCTAATCAACTCATATAATACAATACGTCTAAGAGAATATGGGTGATAAATTTACAAAACTTTTTTTATATGATTAAAAGTTAAATAAATTATTTAAAAAGCTATGTATATGTGATATTAATTTTTAGAAAATTTGTAAGAAGAAAATATTAAATATAATTTTAGTTTATGTATATGTATGATAGGTATGTTAACCGTATTCATTCTTATCATTGAACGAAACTTCTATGTATGTACATCAAATATGACAAATGTCCTGTTAAAAAAATTAATTGTCAAACAGTTTATTCGGCAGTCAAAATTAAAATTTAAAATTTTTAACACAACCAAACCGCCATAAAAACCTTTATTTGCTAAGCAATACAAAAATATTAAATTAATCTTATCAAGACCAAGTATTGTCGTATAACGAAAAAAAATTGGATACCTATGTACATACATCATAATCACTTAATTATATCCGTATTTATTATTATACATACAGAGTACAAATTATGTACCTATGTCCAATATTAACCAAATATCCTGAGATTGAATGTAGTAATATTAACTGAATTTTAATGTTAAGATTTTACATTTCATCTTCAAAATCAATTGAGTATATTTAAATAAACTTACCTTCTAAAAGTCGGGATATTATGCTGTCAATATTTAATAACTCAGACATATTACTGATTTTTGTCTAAAAAAAAAAAATAATCTTTAAACCAGGCAATTTCCTTAAAAACACACAAATATCCGCCTACTCAATTTTTTTTCATATATTTTCACTTTAATTTTCAATTAAAAAGCTATGTAATGTTGTCTGTTAAATGAGATTTTTTTTTTTTACCACTTTGTCATTGAATTTAAGAGAGCAGCGACATTAGGCTAAAACTAATAACATATACAGTAATTCAAGAATAAAAATTAAAAAAAAAAAAATAAGAAATTTAATAAAATAAAATAAATAAACTTAAAAGAAACAAATTAATTTATATTTAATTACAAAAACAATAGCGAAAAAAAAAAATCCACGTCCATTAATCAATTTTTATTAAATACACAAAAACTTGAAACACCCCTCAAAATTAATTTCAAATGAAGGTTCAAATTTTAATGATGGCTGCGAAAATTCCACTACAGATTTTATCTATTTTGTATTTAACAAAATTAATTTAAAAATTTTTCGAATAATTTTATATTAATAAGAAAATAGTATTAAGATATTTAAATAAATTATAAATTGCTTTTTTTTTTTGCTTTCTCCAAGATTTTCTAAATATGTATTCACTTTTTTTTTTTTCAAATTACGATCAGACAACGCGATATTTTTTTTATTACCTTGCAAATATTTTAGAAATTGAAAATTAAAAAAAAAACTAATTTGCCAAACTCAATTTCATAACAATAATTATTGAAATAAGGTAATATTATAATTTTAATAAATTTTTTATTTTTATACTAATTCGGAAAAAATCCAACTATTTTATTTCTTCTTTTAATTTCACGGACCGAAGATTTTTCCCTGCCACTACTATATCAAAATGGAACCTTTACTTCAATTCAGGCAAATGAATACCAAAATGTAAGGTGGCCATTTTTTTTTTTTGTTAGAGCATGGCTTTGGCGCATTCTAAATGTATCATTTGACGTTTATTTGACATTAAAATAAAAGTGGATTTACATTTTTCGTATAAGAAAATAAGAATTTCATTGAAATTTACACAAGATTTTTGTACGAGATTAGTAATTTTATTAAATTTAGTAAATTTGTTAGCCCTTTCGAACTGAACGACTTACACGTCAAAATGATTTTTTTCATTATTTGGAATTTGTAGTTATAATATTGTAACATTTGTATGTCATGTTTACTTTTATACTGCATTTATATAGGTTAAGTTAATTTTAATTAGAGTTTAAAAGCATAACCTATTTTAAAGTTCATATTATAGTTACAGATGTCAAAACATTTAATTCAAACTAAAGTGTAGCTATGGTAGAAACGAAGTAATAGTTCTGCAATCAATTTCTTTATCAAAATTTTCTTCTACAATTCCTACATATTATAAATTATCAGAGAGTGAAATTCCAACGAAAGCATACGTGTATACATAAAATCATACATAAAATATTAAATAAACTGTGCTAAACTAAAACTTTTTTATTTATTATGTAATTGTAAATATTTCAAAAATAGTAAATATTGTTACCATTGTTATAACTTAAATTTAAATTCAAAAATTATATTCTGTACGAGCTACATATACATTAGCTCTTTTTGAGATACATGAAATAAAAAAAAAAAAAACAAAAAACAAAAAAAAAAAAGGTTTCATTCTCTCATTTCGAATAATTAGATCGCATCATATTGAACACGTCAAAATGCGATTTATTTTATTCATTTGGAGTATTCTAAACATTGTGTTCTGTACTTTTTGTATTTGTTAAAACATTTTCTCAAGAAAAATCTTATTAGGCGTCTTAAAGAGACAAAAGTTGAAAAATAACGCAGTTGAGTTTTGAGACTTAAAAATCAGCTGATTTATTATGCATTTAAAAAAAAGAGAATATGTAGAGTGCTGCAGCCCATATAAACACTAGTGTTGATAAAATTTGTTTAAATTTAAAATTTTAGTTCTGTTTGTTGATAAACTAACAAACTTTTCAAGGAATTCAGATGATGCAAAACAAAATTCTACTAATTGCCAAACTTACATTTTTCTAGTTGTTAACTTAAATATCAGAATTGGAAAGAATTTTTTAAAAGGTATTTTTGTAATATTCTGTAACACTTTCGTTAAACTAGATAATACACATTGCGGCTAGTTAAGTGTTGACTACATTAGAATTTTTTTAATAAGATAATTGAATTGAAATTTAATTCTGTCTCGTGAAGAAATCTTGAAAGCAATTAAATAACAAACTCAAAATTTTGTTTTTAAAAATGCTAGTTTTTTTTGCCAGATAGAAGTTATCTGACATTTTGTTCTTTTAAGATGTTACCAGAAAACTAACTTCACGTTTAAAAAATTTACCACGCTCACTTTCATACAAAAACTATTGTTTTGTAGTTATTTCATGTCCATTTATTTTTATCTTAGACTATTGTATTATGAAAAGCATGAGCAGTATTTGTAATTTCGTATTTTGTTGATATGTGAATAGAAAATTATAATTGTAAATCCAAAATAAATTTTTCAGATTCAAAGTTATTCAAAGTTATTGCAGTTATATGCTTATTCCTTGTATTTAAAATTCCCAATTTAAATAACTTAATTCTTTTGGTTTTCTGTGTTTGTAATTTTTTTATTATTTTTATAGAATTTTATCTTTATCGTGCATCAATAAATACATATATTTTTTTTTGTTTGTTCTGCTTCATATAAAGGAAATTTAATATTATAAACAAATAATTTCTCAATAAATAACTTGTTAATATTTTAGGATTTTGATTGCAATTTTTTATCAATAATTTTTTGAAAATTTTTTAACTTTACTAATTCTTCTCTCATTTCCACATACTCTAAAAATGATAATTTTTTCTCCAAAAGATGTTTCATTTTTTCAGCTATTACTTTTGAAACTTCTTCTTTTTTTAAGCGTAATTTCGAATTTTCTTCAGGCTTACTTTTATTGTGACCTAAATTAAGTAATTCTGCAGCTTTTAATTTCTTCTCTTTTCTAGCACCCTATATAAAGAAAAACTATCAGTCAAGAGATAACGAATGCATGCGTAAAAATTTTTACCATTTATTTCGTAAACTTTAGTTCCAGAGATATTGATCGAAATCCAGGAAAAGATATTTAAAATATATGGTACCTAAAAATTGTTTTAATAATAATATAAAATGTAAACAAATGCTACTTTATTGGCTACTATAATTTGTGTTATTTACTATTTGTCAATATGCAAAATAAATATCAACAGTGACATCTCTTAGGAAGTGTTTAGACATCAAGTCTTATTTACCCATTCTGTTATATGGGTGTTGGGAATTTTAATGAGAAAAGTTTTATGTAGGTATCAGGAAATATAATGAAAAATCTATGTGAATTTACTAAATTATTCATATGACTTTATTTTGCTAATAATGCATTAGACTATTAGAGCGTAATAGTATACGTAAGTATGTAAATTGTGTATTAGCTACTTTCAATCAATTTTGTTATTTTAAATGTATACTTATAAAAGATTTTTTTTTCATACAATTAAAGCTTATATTTCGGCACTGATTTATGTAGTTTTGAAAGAAAATAGCGCATTCTTTGAAAATAAAAATTAATAATTTTCGTTGACAAATACTGTTCATATTTAATTATAAAATACATTGTTCTTTAATATTTTTCTCATATGATAGCAAAATAGCAAAAAGAACAACGTAATGTAGTTTTTCACAAAATTTAATATAAAGAATTAAATGTTTGGGAACCTCAGAAACTTTGAAGTTTTTAAATCCACACGTGCAAAATTGACAGTAGTTCAATTTTAATTTAAAAACATGTTTAGTGTTTACATATAAATCTCATATACAAAAAATTTAACTAAGTAAAAAAAATGGGATTAACGAAGCAATATTTGGCTTATCGACCATGTGGGGCATTTAATATAATTGCAAGTGGGCGGCCAAACATAAATTTTGCAGTTTATAATAATATCGAAGGAAGGTATTGCTTAGTTGGTGGCGCAGAAAATGCTATACTTTGGGATTTAAAGTAACTTTACCTATTTGCACTAAGTTTTATAACGTATACATTAATCCTCAATGTAATAATACCATATTTCAGATTAGGAACAAAATGTTTTCAATTGGAAAGAGAAAAGACGGAAGTAACATCATTAAGGATCAGTCCGGATAACGAGCATGCTGCCATTGGGTATATTGACGGGATAGTTCAAATATTTGAACTGAAAACACAATCATCTATATGTTCTTTATCAGTTCATAAAACAGCTGTGAATATTTTAAGATATGACAGTATTGGAATGCGGTTAATTTCTGGTGGCGCAGATACAGAGTTGGTTGTTGTAGACACAGTGTCTTTAATTGGGAAATGTCGTTTAGTAGGTCATAATGCACCAATTACTGATGCTCATTTTTTAGTAGAATTAGATAATGTTGCAATTTCCGGTTCAAAAGATACACAAATTAAGTTTTGGAATTTAGAAACACAAACTTGTTTTAAAACATTGGTAGATAATCGAACAGAAGTATGGAATTTGGCATATACAACCCAATTTTTGTTTTCTGGTTGCGGTGAAAGTACAATAAATGTTTATAAAATTACAAAAATTGATACAGAAAATAAAGAGGAATTAGTCGTTCCGCTCATAGAAGGATTAAGCATTGGTATGATTTTTTTTTTGCGTATGAATATATGTAACGTCTTAGATTTTTTTAGATGATGATAATTATGTAAGTCCTGTTCATGTAATTAATTGTGGTGTTATACAAAGAGCAGGTAAAGGTAGAACAGTTAATATGATTGCTGATGCAACTGGTAGAATACTGGCAGTGAACGGGACGAATGATGTCATAGAATTATTCTACTTATGTTCTAGAGAAGAAGCTATTACGCGATTGAATAAACGATTGAAAAAGTTAGAAAAAAAATCAGAAACCATTTCTTCAAAGGAGTTGTCGTTATCTGATGAAATCAAACGCTTAAATAGCATAAAAGTTGGGAATAAAATTAAATCAATAGATTTGCTATTTGGAGAAAATAATGAGTTGCGAATTTTAGTGAACCTTGCCAACAATTCGCTTAGATTATATTCCCTTGACTTATCAAAGAAAAACGGAGAAGCAATCCTTCTTAAATCAATTACACAATGTGGTCATCAATCTGAAGTGAGAACAGTTGCTTTTAGCTCTGATTCGCATTTAATATTGTCTGGAAGCGGTGAAAGTGCAAAAATATGGCTAAGAGAATCCATGCAATGCATTAAAACGATACCTACTGAATATGTTATAAGCAGTATATTTGTTCCTGGAGATAAGCATATAATCTTAGGCTTAAAATCAGGTAGTTTAATAATTGTGGATGTAACTGTTGGTGAAATTATTGAAGAAATACCAGCACATAAGAGTGAATTGTGGTCCATTTGCTTATTACCAGATTTAAAAGGATGTGTTACAGGAAGCAGTGACAAAACTGTTAAAATTTGGTTATTTGAATTAATAGAAAGCGAAAGTCAGAGTGAAAAAGTTTTATCGTTGCTTCATAAAAATACCTTAGTTTTAGAAGAAAGCGTTTTATGCTTGAAAGTCAGCCCAAATAGTAAATTTCTAGCGGTTGGATTACTCGATTCGACGGTTAAAATATTCTTTTTAGATAGTTTTAAATTTTTTCTTTCTTTATATGGTCACAAATTACCAGTTTTATGTTTAGACATGTCGTATGACTCTCAATTAATAGCAACAGGCTCGGCAGATCGTAATATAAAAATATGGGGCCTAGATTTTGGAGATTGCCATCGATCTTTATTTGCTCATGATGACTCGGTCATGAGCTTGCAATTTATTCCAAATACTCATATGCTTTTCACAGCTGGAAAAGATGGGAAAATAAAGCAATGGGATGCTGACACTTTTGACAAAATTACAACATTTTCGAACCATGTTGGGGAAATTTATAATATAGCAATAAGTTTTGATGGCTTATTTTTGGTGAGTAGTGGATGTGATCGTACGATAAGATTATTCAATCGAACTGATGAACCCATTGTGTTGAGCGATATACAAGAGGAAGAACGCGAAGAAATCGAGAATCGACAATTAGCTACAAGTGAAAATAACAGTGTTCCTTTATTACCAGGTTTAAAAATGCCTTCAAGAAAAACGGTTGGTTCTGAAAAAGCAGCTGAATCAATTTTAGAATGTTTGGAAATTTGTAAAGAATATGAAGTAGAAGGTTTGAAACTGAACAATTTACATCCATTAATGAAGGCATATGGAACATCTAACACAAATGATTTTTTAATTTCTGTCTTTCAAAGAATTCAATCTTCAGATTTAGAAGAAGCTTTATTATTACTTCCATTCTCTAATGTAATTGAAATATTAAAAAAGATTCCAGTATTAGCTGAAAGTCGAAAAGATCAATGTGAACTGATTTTGAGGATTACATTATTTTTATTTCGGGTCCATCAAAAGCCAATTACAAGCAATCACACACTTTCAAAAAGTATAAGTAAATTAATAAATATTTTACAGAAATTAGCGGAAGAGTTAAGAGATATGATTGGGATTAATTATCATTCATTACAATTACTACAAAGAGATATTGAAGAGCGTGAAGGCATTGAGTTCTTCCGCGATGCAACAAAATCAAAAAAGCAACGTGAAAAAAATAAAAAAAGGCTTCTTTTGAAAAGAGTTCATGTTTAAGATATTTTTATTACTTTTCCTTAATCGTGTTAGGTTTCCTTATATGCATAATTATGCATTTATGTACATATTATTATGTGTATACATATTATGTGAAAAATAAAAATATAAATTTTAAAATTTTGCGTTTTGCTGTAGTTTTATTTTATACATAATAATAAATCAGATGGAATTTGAGAAAGAGTTTTACCAAAGTTTTACTCAAATGTATTTTCAAGTAAGTAATTTTTTAAGTTGCTTTGCAGCAAAATCTGAACTAAGCAGTCTATTTTGTAAGAAATTCAAGAATCTATGCTTAATTCAGACCTCAGCAATAGTAGTGGTTATTGTACCGATCTTTTAACCGAAGGGTGTCTGACATATTGACTAAATACCGGGAAAAAATAATTTGCACTTTTGTACCAACTCGTGAATACCACCAATATAATATTATAACAGTAGCACTAGCACATTGACCACTAAACAAAATATTTTTTCATTAAATATTTTTTGCCTTTATTTTTTGAAACCTGAAACTTGTCAAAATAAAAACATAAAACGATTCATTTTTCTTGTCGATTTTATAATAATATAAATTTTGCTCCAAATACCGATTCCATAAGAAATATCGATTAGTTTCAATTGTCAGAAAATATTTGTAAACTCTATTCGCACATGCTTTCTTTATTTGTAAAATTTATTTAAGTATATTCAGCATTGTGTTGATCTTTATTAAAAAAAAATAAATTTAAAAAAAAATGGTTCTTGTAGAAACAAATTTCCCCCGCGGTGGAACTTTTGAAAAGCGTGAAAATCAGGAGAATATTGTAACTTTTATGTTTTACATAAAGATAAACAATTAATTAAGATTGGTTTCGATTTCTAGGATTTTGGGGCTAAGCAAATAAAGAAAAAGAAAAGGAAAGACAATTCTAATAAAGATGAAGAGCTTGAAAATAATGTTGCGATTGAGGCAATTTCGGCAGAACTTTTAACTTACAAGACTATTCAAGAAGGGATGATTTTGTATGGAATAATCAAACATGTAGATCCAATTTGTTTAAAAGTTTCATTACCGGGACGTATTGTTGGAAAAGTTTATGCTTCTTCAATATCAGATTCTTATAACAGAATACTTAAAGAATTCATTCAAACTTCAGAAAAATTGGAGAATTTTAAACCTTTAGATCAGTTGTATTCAATTGGAGACAGTGTTTACACAAAAGTCATGCAAATAAAGGAAAATGAGGCGAAAAGTCATATTGAAATCGTACTGTCTTTTAAACCTTCTGACGTGCACCAAAATTTATATCACGAAAACTTTACTAAAGGAAATATTTTTAACGGGGCAATTGAAGAAATACAAGATCATGGTTATGTTATAGAATCAGGTGTTAAGAATTTAAGATGTTTCTTACCAAAAAGCAACGTTGATGACGAAAATCATAAAGTTTTTTGTGTTGGACAGTTGGTATGTGTTAAAATAGTAAAATTAACACAATTTAAGAATGCTAGCACAGCGATATGTACATTAATAAGTAATGAAAATAAACGTAAACTGAAAGATATGATTGAACCACGTTTGGAGTATTTAATGCCATCGTCTATTGTAAATTTTACTGTCACAAAAATATTAAAAGATGGATTACAAGGCACAATTATGAATGGTAATTTCACAGCATATGTAAATGAACATCAACTAGCAGATCTATTTGCAATGCCAAGTGAATATGATGTTGATTCAACAATAGTAGCAAAAATTTTATATATAATGCCGCTTTCAAAATTAGTATATTTATCACTAAAAAAAGTAAAACAAAATTTTGAAGAAAATATATTAAAGCGAGGAACAATATTAAATGCCAGTGTACATAACCACGGAACAGGAGGCATTATATTTCAAATAGACGAAAATAAAAAGGCTGTACTATCTTTCAGTTCTTTAAAATCAAAAATCTCCGGAAATTTTGATCACGATGATCTTTTATCAAAATATAGTAAAAATTCAATGCACAAAATTCGAATAATTGATTATGATTTTGTCGATGAGTTTTATATTTGCACTGATAATCCAAACGTCCTCAATGAGAAATATTTTACTGTACATGATTGCGAAGTTGGTGAATTTGTTACAGTAACTGTAAAGCAAAAAGATAAAAATAATGGGAATTTATATTTTAAACTAGGAAATTGTAATGCTCTAATGGAGAAACTTTTTCAATCATCTCAAACAATGCTAACTACCTCAGAAAATTCAAAAATTAAATGTAGAATTTTGGCTACAAACAATGAGAGGAACATTGTTTATTTGACTAATAAACCAGAATATATGAAACAAAATTCAAAAATATTAGACAATGTGCATAAAGCTAAAGTGAATCAAGTTTTTTTGGGGACAATAGTCAAATGCACTGAAAGATTTTTCATAATAAAGTTTTTTGCTGGAATAAAAGGTATTTTATATAAAACCGCGGCAACACATTTTATGTTCTCGGAAATTTCTTCGTTTAATACTGGACAGACAATGCTATTTAGAATTTTAAAAAGAGAAGGTAATAAATTACTTCTAGGTTCAGCCAATGAATTATTAAAAATTGGTGATGTATCTAGAGCAACTGTAGAAAATTGCTTGGAAAATGGTTTAGAAATAACTATTAAAAAGGATGACCATGATATTAAAGGTTAGTCATTTTAATAAAATAGTTCATCATTGAATCAAAATATATGGAATAAAAAAAAATCAATTTTAGGTCTTGTTCCAGTTCAATTAATAACCGATTTCCCAGAATTAAATGTTCCAAAGCTTAAAACTTTTATTGTAGGACAACCTATTGAAGTTGCTTGTACTTTCAAAAATATATTTTCTATCAGGGATGTGGAATACTTCAGTTCAACTAAAACTAAAACATTTTCTTCTTTAAGATCAGGGGATATGCTCCGCGGTTCAATAAAAAATATTGATAATGACATCGTGGAGGTTTTGTTACCAATTCGGAATTATAACAAATTATTGCGTATTCATTTGAAAATGATATTACCTAATTTAATTTCAGAATCAAACATATTAGTTGAACCAGATCAGATTATATATGTTAGAATTTTGCACAAAGAACCAATAACAAAAGCTTTAACTGTTTCAGCAAAATTAACTGATGTTTGGGATGGTGATTTTCAGCTTACAGGAGAAATATTTGCAAAATTTTTAAATGAATTGAAAGTTTTAAAAAAATCACTAAAATCTCAAGAAGATCCATTTGGCAATTTGAAAATTGGAAAAATTTTATTGGCAAAATTTTTGTTCCAAGATAAAGAAAATTTGAATTATTATGTAGAATTAGAGAACGGCGTTCAAGGTATTATAAAACGGCACCTATTTTGTGCCGAATACAAGGAAGCAAATGAAACAAAAATTTTAAAAGAAGGTGATCAAGTCAAAATTATTATTTTGTGGATTGATTACAAGAACCGTATAGTTTATTGTTCAAATCAAGGTTCAACTCTAAGAAAAATAACGACCGAGCGAAAATTACCTAAAAATTTAGTCAATAAAACTGGAGTAAATGCAAAAGTTTTATTAATATTTGATAATTTTGTTGTTTGCTCTTTAAAACAAAACGAAAATCCAATCGTTATAGTACCAACACGTATGCACTATAACGATTTTGAGTCTAGTGTTACAACTAAAGTAATAGAAGGAGATTTTTGTCGCTTGCGGTTTGTAAATGAAAACTATCCTATAGCAGTTTTTGAGGACACTGCAAAGTTATGGAATAAATATAAAACACGTAAAAGGAAACTGCTAGAAATTTCGGAAGCAAAAAATAAAAAGCGAAAGGTTTTGGCGGGTTTTGCTGATACAACAGAGATAGTAAAAAGGCATCATCACAATGAAATAGGAAAATTAGAAATAGACTCTGACAGTGAAACTGATATGTTAAATTTTGAAAAGGAACTTAATGCATTAAGCGATGACGAGGAATTTAGTGAAGCAGAAGCAGTGAAAAATGGCAAAGGTCTGTCTACTGATATTAAAAAAAATAATTTGAAAATTAATAACAATGGTAAAAGAGAAATTAAACAACATAAGAATTCTTTTGAATCTGATAGTGATGTGCATTTGTCAGATTTTGAGCGTGAATTGAATATTCTTAGTGATAGCGAAGAAGAAAACAAGTCAGGAAAAGAAAAAATGGTGGACTCAAGCTCTACAGATATATCTGACTTCGAAAATGAGTTAAATGAATTAAGCGATGACAGTGAAACAAAAGAAAATTATATAAAAAATAATAAGATAGGGAAATTAGTTCTACCAGGCGTAAATGACTTTTGGTCAGCTCCTAATATAGAGTCACAAAAAATTAAAATCGAATCAAGTAGCGAAGATGAAAGTGACAGTGAAAGCAAAGTGAAAAAGAAAAAACGTTTAACAGCTGCAGAACGATTTAAAGCCGAAAAACTTGAAGAAGCACGAATTCGTGATATTGAAAATAAATATGCAGAAATGAATGATGAACCAGAAAATGCTGACCAGTTTGATCGACTAACTTTGTCTGATCCGAACAACAGTAAAATCTGGATAAAATATATGGCTTTTTATTTGAAAACTACTGAAATTGATAAGGCCCGAATTGTTGCAAAAAAAGCATTGAAAGTTATTTCATTTCGTGAACCTCAAGAATTACTCAATGTATGGGTTGCGCTTTTAAATTTGGAGTCAAATTATGGTACCAAAGAAAGTTTTAAGGAAACTTTCAAAGAAGCTTTACTTTACAATGATCATTTAAATATATATTTGAAGGCAATTGAAATACTAACAAACACAAAAAGTATTCAGGAACTGAATGATATTATAACACCAGCTATAAGAAAATTCAAAGATAATCCAGAAATATGGAAAACATCTGCGTCTGCTCTTTTTCAAGTAAATTTAAAAGATAAAGCACAACAACTTTTACACAGATCATTAAACTCTTTGCCTGAAAGGCAACGTGAGTATTGAAATTTTTTTATATACATATGTATAATATATCGTTTTCTAAAAAAAAAACTATTACATATTTTGTTTTGCAGATATAAATATTATAGTAGCATTTGCAAATTTGAATCATAAATATGAGGAAAAAGAAATGGCACACACATTGATGGAACAGGTTTTAACTTCTTATCCAAAACGAGTAGATGTGTGGTGTCAATATGTCGACATGTTAGTAAAAGATTCTTTGATTGAACCTGCAAGGTAAAAAATTCAATTTTATTACTAGAATGATGCAAATACACATTTTTTTGCTTCAATTAGGCGTACCTTAGAACGGGCAGTTATCCAAAAAATTCCTTTGAAAAAAATGAGAACAATATTCAAAAAATATTTAGAGTTTGAAGAAAAATACGGTGATGAAACAAACATACTTAAAGTAAAAGAGTTAGCGCAGGACTATGTAAAAAGAAATGAAATATAATAAAGTAATTGAAGGAAAACAAATTTGTAAATAAATTTCTTTCATGTTAAAAATATGTTTTTATTATATCTCAAGAAAAGTCAAATAAAATAATTGAAATTTGTAAATAAATTACGCGGCACCACTACCTTCTAACTCAGATGATGGGATTTCTGGTTCTTCATCATTATATATATTTTCTGCCATTTGCCATACTTGCATTATATTATCTTCCGAAACTGAACAAATTACCCATGGTTCATTTGGATTCCAAGAGAAGTCTGATATTTTTGCTGTGTGTCCTCCATGAATAAATAAAAGCTCTGGCGGTCCATCTTCGGCATCTTCTGCACTTTGTTCTTCACCTATTTTTGATAAGTCCCATACATGCAAACGTCGATCAGTTCCAGAAGATGCTAAAATTGTTTCGTTATGAGGTGACCATTGAACTTGAAATATTTCATCTTTATGTGATTCGAAGGAATGTAGTTTTAGTTTAAGATTTCTTAAATCCCATAAGGCGACAGTTTTATCTGCTGAACCAGTGGCCAAAATAAATTCAGAATAAGGGTTAAAACTTAAACAATTGACTTCAGCTGTGTGAGCGTCTACTGTATGTGAAGGTTTGGATGTGTTATTACAACGTGTGTCCCAAATCATAAGTTTTTGATCGTCAGCAACAGAACCAAATAAAGATTCATGAAGTAGATGCCAAGCTACATCTTCCACGACAGCTGTATGACCAGTAAAAATATTTTTAGCGTCAATTACCCGATGTTCTTTTGGTGTTGCGTTAATATCCCACAAGCAAATTGTATGATCATCACTAGCTGATAATAAATATCCATTTAAATTTGGATTCCATGATAGGCCATACCCTTCTTTTTGATGACCCCTTAAGCGAAGATCTAAAATTTTATGTATTTGACATATATAAAATCATAATTTATCATATAAATCATATCTAACCTGGATGACATTCTCCGCTTGGTTCTGGTTTGCTGGGGTGTTTTGTATAGTCAAATACTAGTACATCGCTAGAAGGCGTTTTAGTTGCAATAACACAAGCGTTCTGAGGCATATAACGTGCACGATTTACTTCTCCCTCATGATTGATTTTAATTTCAATTTCAATTTTTCCGGAAACAGATCCAAATCCACCAAACTCACCTTTTTCGTTGTCATAGTGAGAAGCATCAAATTGTGCATCTTCATTTGGTAGTTGCACACTAGCAATTAATAAGTGGTTTTGCTCATCAGAAGTATGCGTCCCTAATATAAGACGATGCACAGAATAATCTTTGCCTTCCTGTTTTGTAACGTCAGGTAACCATTGTGCAGTAAGTGATGGCCATTCTAAAGCATGTGTCATTACCAAATCATATAAAAATGGTGTATTTTTCTTCCATATTTTGTATTCTTCGTTTATTACACGTTCTTCTACAGCATCATCAAATGCTTCGGCTAAAAATTTTTCACTCAAAATTATGATCATATTTATAATTGTTATTACAATTTGTAATTTTACTTACCATTATCTCCTCTATCGCCCATTTTTCAATTTACCGCCAAATGAAGTCTTTTGTATTTTGATGAGTAAAATAGGGAACTTTTGTGTGTACACTTGATTTTCCTTATACTCTAATTGCAACTTGAATGTTATAATACTAATTAAAGAACTCACTTTAACAACCTATGAAATTTAAATATTGCAATATTTTTAGAGCCGTGCAATGCAAGCACTTTTATATTTGTTCCATTCCAACTTACTTTGACGTTTAACAAGCGTCGTCCATGTAGCCGGCCATAAAAGTAAAACAAAGTTTACAATCACTTTAATATCGTATCACCAATGCTACATGTACCTTAAAATTTATAATCTGTGATTTACGGATAAAATGAATTGATAAAGTTGTCCTTTCATTTTGCAATCATCTCTTGTATTACATAATTTGAAAAAAAAAACCAAAGTTTAAAAGAAAAATTAAAAAATTAATTATAAATTTATTAAATTTTGACGTTGTATATTATATTTGACACTTTCCGCAATGAAAGAACAAAGAAATTTTCAAATTTATAGCGACATCTATGTAAGAAATTGCTAAGTAATATAGATATTTGTTTATTATAATATTTACTTAAAGAGTGTCGAATATTTGATAATAGTTGTTAATTTGTCGCTTCAAAGTTTTTGAATAAAAGCTTCAAATAAAAGCTCTTCCCGTTTATATCCTGGCTGTAAAACATTCCCTAAAGCAAGTTCTATTGAAGAAAAATCATAAATGTTACGATTTAAGCATTAAATTAAAATGTTTTATAAGTTCATATTTACTTTTATTTATTTTTCAAAAAAAGTTTAGTACAATTGTCCTATTTCACTTTCAAGAGAAGTGTCCTTGAAATACATGCAAATATATGTATATACTGTAAAATTCACAACACATATAACAACATATTTTGTTCTGTGATAACACTTCTATAAACTGCTATGTATTTTTAAACGTTATATATGTACATATATATAATAACAAAAAGTAAATATATTATGTACATATATGTATACATATATATATATGTATACATATATTATATGTATACATATAATATATGTATACATATATACATATATTATATATATGTATATTAGATTTTTGTATACTTTCTGGTCCGGAAAATTAAGAATTACTCTTATTGTACCATTGATAATACATTAATCATGAGTTGAAATTAATGTTTCCGCTATACAATTTACTCTTTTGTAAACTGCATTAATTAAAATGTTATTTGTATTATAATTTATAGTAGGTAATAAATATAAAGAAAATATTTATGTATGTATGTACAATGCAAATCCACCTGTTTTCTGATAAGAGAATTTGAATTGTTGTCATAAACCGACGTACTTTAATTAACGCTTTAATAATCAGAGTCGAACTTACCATTTCAAGAGCCATTAAGACTAATATAATAAATTACTAAAATAGACGAATATTCCTGTAACGCGAATTTGTAGTTGACTGTAAATTTCAAATTATAATTTCGGTCTTTTTTTAACTTATGCCTGTTGTTAAACCAAAGACATTAAAAATACAATATAATTATAATGTCTTTGGTTAAACTTAAAGGCTTCTTCACTTTTACATTCTTTTTTACATAATACATGACGTAATTATATGCTTGTACCTACATAATATACTACATAATATAGGTTCGATTATAAATTTTACTTATCTTAAATTGTTGGTGTAAATTTTCAGGTAGGAACTTTATTATATAGGTTGATATCAGGCATTTATTTTCTATTTAATGAAAGAGCAGTATGTAACGTATGTATGCAAAAAAATGCACCAATAGATTGCAAGTACATTTATAGTTGATTCTTGAGTTGTAGGTTCATATATTTTTTCATTAAATATAAAAGTCAATAGTGTGCAATTTTTTTTTTTAAATGGGAGTAGATAGTTTAGTCATAATGGTAAGGCTTTAATTCTCTTAAAATTCAGTTTACACAGTTCACATTCAGTTGATATACATGACTGACGATTTTGATCACTGTGGTACGCTACATGATTTTTGTTCGTTAATCAAAATTATAGACTATGCAGATTGACAGTTAATCTGTAATTTTGACTACAAGATCTTTTAAATATGGTTTCACATTTTTTTCACAGAATAACACAGAAATTTCGAAAAAATAAAAGAGATCGTTGAATAGGGTATTGAACGTTTAAAAAATTATTTTGATATAAAAAACCAGGACAGTAACGTTATTTAGTTACTATACAATTATTTTGATATTTTTATTTTATTACAATTTCTTATTTGATGTCTTAATTACATTTTTAGTCATTTTTGAAATTTTGCCAAAGGAAAAAGAAAGATCAAAACGTTTATAAAAACTTATACAAACATGAATACAAAAATGGTGTGATATGAAAATAATTTTGTATGTTGTATTTTTCATTTTAATATTATAATACACCGCTACATGTAATATGTTGTTGTAAAAAGAATGACGGAACTGAAAAACATTTTTAAATTTTTTTGAGTTACTAAGTTTTCTGTTAAAACATATATAATGTAATCATCTGCAACTGTTTCAGCACTGAAACCCTGATATGAACACTAAGCGTATAATTTTTGCCAATGAAAGATATTTAAAATGTCAAGAGCAGTGAAAGATTTTGAATGAAATCATTTTTTTATATATATTGAATATTGTGAATTTTATTTGACTTTATGTAGTTTAACAATAGCCAATATCTGTTTATTTACTGTACAGATTGAAATAATATTTCTTGAGTTTGACATCACCTGTTTTTTGATCATTTTCAATTTTTCAATCCGAGCCTATTGCAATCGATTTTCAAGTCAAGTTAATAATATTTTATCGAATCGACTTGACTTGAAAATTTTAAGTCGACTTCAAACTGACTTAAATGCAATTCACAATGAGTTAATCTTCGATTTATTCAGCAAAACAATTTGAAGCGTTGAATAAAGTAGAGCGTAAATTTTTTAAAATTAATTTAAATATTTTTAAATTCTTAATATTTCACATAAATTATTATAAATAAGCTTATAGATTATTTGACCAACGAATTCAGATACCAAATATGTACTTGTATGTGTATTTGTTGTGTAAAAAATTACATAAAATTTGTGCATTTTCAGATGAAGTTTTTTTAATATTTTTGATTTTATAAGGGAATTGAAGTTTTTTTTTGAATTCAACTTTGAATTTAATGTCCTAAATCATTTTCTTTAAAAATAAATAAAAAATTAAAAGTTCTCAATTATTTTGTGAAAATATAAGAAAAATAAAGTTGTCCCTGCTATTTAATTCAAAATAAATTTTACAAGATTAAATTTAGAATTTTCTAGAAGTAAAAGTTTTTTATATAATAATTGCATTACAATAATTTAATTAAATCAATAAAAAATAAGTTACAATTTAAATTCTTAGTATGAATATTGCTAATTATAAATTGAATTTTGAGAATTAATAGAAATTTTTAAGGTAAAAATGTATGAAATATAAAAAATTGTTCTTGAATTTTTTTGAATCTCATGTACAAGTGTTTACAGACAGTGAGGTAAGTTATGTATGTATGTATTTATGTATATATATTTCATTAAATTTATATATATTAATTGTAGAATATTTGAAGAAATCAATGAGCCAAGCAGCATCTTTAAAACTACATTATATACAAATGTACATTGGTGTCGCACAATAGAACTTGTCTTTAATTCTTTTACTCATTCTCAAGGCACTTCATTTGTTAATTACTTTTTACAATTTTCTAATTTATTATATAAACCAAAGATTAGACACAAAGAAAACTTTTTAATTAAATATTGAGTGTGGCAAGAAAATTAACATTTTTATAAATAAATTTCCACATCAAGGCCATACATACTTAGAAAAAGGCTCCTACAAAACGTTAGCCTGGTAAACTATAACTAAATTTCTAAAGTAATTTAAATAATTTTGGCTCTTTAACCAACTTAATTACTCAATCATATTTGAAATAAGGTAGATACTACTCAATCATTACAACACTAAACTAAACACTATAACTAAATTTCTAAAGTAATTTAAATAATTTTGGCTCTTTAACCAGCTTAATTATTCAATCATATTTGAAATAAGGTAGATACTACTCAATCATTACAACACAAATTGTTGCATATAATTTTTAGAATCCTTTTTCCGCAAATAGTTATCTATTTCTTTAACAAGGTTTTGACCACAATAACTTGTAGACTATATATGAGTACCGTGAGATGGCAATTTAAATTGTTATTTATCAATGAAAATTAATTTATTAATAAAAATTTTTTTAATCTTTAATTTCTCTAAGTCATATTCAACAGAAAATCTTAGACTTTCTTAATAATCTAATTTTATAAATTGAAATCTGAATCTAACTAATAAAATTTGAAATAATGTTTGTCTTGTCCTTATTAGTGATGCTTTATCATGGGAATAACAAAATATTTTTCAGTTTTAAATTTTTCAATTTACATTGTAATTAATTATTTCAATTTTCTCTTCTATATTAAAATGTACATTACAATGTTACAATTATATGCATTGTAAAATAAGTTAAACAAAATAGTATATTTGAATGAAATCCTGTAAAGTATATAGATACCTATACAATTACAAAGAATTCATTATTAAAATTACAAAAATATTCATGAGATTTGCAATTCCTAAGCAAAATAAAATAAAAATTCAGAAGGAAAATTCTTACTATTTAAAGAATTTTTCACTTTATAAGTAGAAATAATATAGTAATAATTTTTCTTTTGTATAATATGAAAATGCATAAATAATTACCTTATTTAAGTTTATAACTCCCTTTTTAGGGATTTTTGTGGATATTTAAGGATATTTTATGTACTATACATGTATAGTTTTTGCAAAAATAAGCGGACTGTAAAATTATATAATGTTTTTTTTTTTATAAATATTTTAAATATTTTCAAATTTATTTTTTTGTAAATTTATTCGAAATTACTTGTATTCTGTAAAGCAAAGCAGTTATGAAAGGAAAAGTACAAAGCAATTTTAATTAATTTTTTTTTTATTAAAGTATAAGAACAAAAAAATTTCTCATGAGATTAGAATTCGCACGCTTTAATTTTTGTACAATATTTTATAAGTATTTGGAATTGTTTGAAAATTTTTGCATGAATTTTAGATTTTTTGATTTAAAATTATTTGTTTTAAGTATATAGTTATTTCCTTTACATATTTTTTAAGATTTCTACGTGCTAATCGTA